TGATAGATCACTATGTCAATCAGTCACCTTTGAGTTATATATACATATTTAGATTCTTTCCAGCATAGATTGAAGTCTAGTGCAGGTTAAACTAAAAGATAAGTTTTTCTCATCCAACTTTTTTGATTAGTTCGTTTTATTGAACGTTCTGTAATTTAGACGGGATTATGGTTCGTTGGCTGTGGGACACTCCTTTTGTAAATGATCAGAGAGCCCACAGTGTGAGCATACTTGAGTAGCTTTACATTGATCTTTGGTGTGTCAAAACTGGGCACACTTACTGCTTGAAGGCTGAAAACTCTTCATAGTACACCTTCTAAAAATCGATTGTTAGCCTAAGTGTTTGCATCTGCGATAGCTTCTTCCATATGTTTTGCTGATTTGAACCGTAGTTGGAGATCCTTGTCACTGTTGATAATAAGATCTGGGTTTCGGCTTTTGATTTCTTATTACGACTAATTGGTCAGAAGGTATGTCTCCGTGAATGCTTTGGAGAATGATCCGCAAATAGATATCTCTCATGAAAAAGGATCCGTTTCAGCTTGGAAATGTTTGGATGGCGGTTGATGTCTTTATCCATCGGCGTTACAATCAACGTCGGGTGGGAGTATGTGAACGCTCGTGGGCTAGATGTGTTGAGCATCGCTACCGGTCGCTTCTCCAAGGAACGAGAAGCATTTGCGGGTTTCACGTTATTCGCTACAGCAGCACGAGCATATGTGAGTTGCGATTTTGTGTCGATTCGCGGAAGCTTAATGCGTGCAAATGCTTTCTTATGATCCGCGAGGTCTTCTTGATTGTGTGCACATCCGACAGAAATACAAGTACATAGTAGGGTATGACAGATGAAAAGGTCGCGATGTTTTTACTTTCTCCCTCTGTTCCTTCAAGCAATGAATTATGAGGATCTTAGCAAAAGCAAAAAAAGGAAAGAATCAGTATAAATATCATGTTCTTTTCCATCGTAAACTAGCTATATAAATCTAAGTGCCACCCCATACATGCATGAAAACATAAGAAAAAGTGCATAAACATTAATAGAAATAATATCAGACACTTTGTAGACTCCATATTATTTATTACTGATTCATTAAAATATTAATACCGTTGATGTTGAATTTTGACTTATCCATCATTTTAAACTCTTTTTTTTTCATTGTCATAAAACAAGGATATATATTGCCTATTTCTGTATTTATTGATAACTCTGTAACAATGCGTCATACCACCGTTTATTTCGTCCTAGGTTTCCGTATGCAAACTTTATGTCCTTGATCTTCAACATTATTTATTTTTATTTTTCACTTTTCGTAATTTCAAATTTTGAGTAATCCAATATGCACTTTGTGAGTGTGAGTACGTGAAAATTCGTCGAGTTAGAAACATTAACATACCTACTTAATTTCGTTCAAAATTTTATTAAGTGTTAAAATTTTATTTATTCTTTCATTATGCTTACGAGTTTGAACTCTAGAAAAATATGATAAAGTTAAATTACTGACCAAACCCGAAGAAAAGAGGCAAGTAATTGTTCCATTTAACTATTTTGATATTATTCTTTTGGTAATCATACGAACTGTTTTTATATTCCATATTTGGTACAGCTTTTTTTGTTACCATTAATTAAATCAAGTGCTTAGACAGCCTTTTATTCTTTTTCCTAAGCATCGAATCCGTCATAACACTATGTTTTTGTAGGTCCCTATTCTTTACTTTATCAATAGCTTATATATCTATAAAATTTTCTGGTTTAGTAAAAAGTACAATTAGAGCCTGCTAAAATATATGGTAAAATATTTTGTCTTTCGAATCTATAATTATAATGCAAAACGCATAGCACTCAAGCATTCAGACATCTACACTTATATTATAAAGAGAAACTCGTACAAGAAGCAACATCGTATATGGTGAACATAAGCAATATTTTATTCCAAAAAACAGTAAATACATAGGAGTGGAAGTTTGTATAGAGAAACAAAACATTACCATAGTAACGATTGTACCGCTATTTATTTAGTCATCCTAGGAATTATATCCGTGTCATCATATGAAACCTTATCCAAATGAATAAGGATATGGATAAACATATGGGCTACTTTTTATTCCACTAGACAGTTCTTTAATTCCACGCAGGCGAAACCGCTGGCTAGTGTCAATAGGTATAAAGTAATAATAATAAGTATTTTCTTATAACAGTTTATGTTGCTTTTAAGGTTCAAAGCGCTTAATTCCAGATTTCTGTAGTTAAAGACACTATTCTTAAGTTATCATATCAACAATTTCGGCTAGTAATAAAAAAATACAATATCATAAATAGTTGTATATGCAGTTTATTTAATACTGAGGTAGATCATATCTCTTAAAAGTTAAAAAAAAAATTATCCTCTATTTTTCACGCTTTCGTAAACTTCGTGAGCCGTGCCCGCTGCACCCAGAACACCAAGACCAGTTTTCCGAAAGTAATTGCATAAATAAATTATTTATATCATAATCAACAAATTTTATTAACAAGAAGAGTTGATTAACAAAGACACTAATGCCTGTTTTGACTAAACTTAGGAGTCAAATCTCTCGCCTAAATATTTAGGAATCACCTAAGGTAAAAATGCATTTCACCATTGACTAGAAACCACCTAACGTAATCAACCAATGTCTAAAGCTATGATATTCGTTATGCAGCACCTTGCGTTAGGTAAATGCCACGCAAATGCGTATACGACAGGTCATAAATATGTCAAGGGATAAAAGAGAAACATATTTTGTTTGTTATTAAACTAATCTGCTTAGGCGATTCCTAATATTAGGCGTTTCCTAGTTAAGCTATACCTTGTTCTAATTTAATGAAAATGGGTGTAAGAGTTTTGCCTTGTTACGTACAAAAAGTGGATATGTTTACACTACATTTACACTCACAATTGCTTTGCCGATATTCTTGACTGGTACTTTGGGTGCAGCTTGACTCTCACCAGCGAAAAGTGCGAGCATCGCCAACAAAATAGCGAATAGAGCTGTGAACTTCATGTTGTCTGGATTCGTTGATGATTTTCAAGTAGTAGACAGTCACGGAGTGCACAGTGATTGAGAATGTGCATCTAGGAACTAAGACCGTCTTTATATGGATAAAAAGAGTTCTTGGAGTTTTCCTGTATGTTGAGTTGTGAATAACTTTGGGTTTCTACGCATGCGTGGTGTTAGTAATGACTGTCTAAATGGGTCTGCTTTGTTGGATGTTTGATTACCGATAATTTATTCGGGTATTTAGATCTTACATATACATTGAGGATTATACAAGTAGCATTTTCATTTTATATGTCACACGATATACCAGGATAAAAAAGCAGCCGCCGATTTTTTTCAAGATTTCTGTTATAAATATGATAATGTTAATTAATTATACGTTTTTAGGATACTGTCGGTTTCAATCTATTTTATAATATAAAGTAACTTAAGCATTTTACAAATTATCTTCTGGGAGGATATTGGTCATGAAATTTGTTAATTGCCTCGTGCGTAATATCAATAAATTACTTAAGGTGAACATCCACTGTGTTCACACTTAAGGAATGGATCCATAGTACGCAGAGGATTTTCCATAGTTTTGTATAAATTTGTATTGTTTCAACATCATCATCATCATCAGCCCTTTTACGTCCTCACTGCAGGGGCTCAGGCCTTCCTTATCCACGCTGGCCCAATGCAGATTGGAGGATATTAACGACTGCAAATGCAGCCGGGACCAACGGCTTAACGTGCCTTCCGAAGCACGGAGTAGCTCGAGATAATATTTTTTTGGTCACCCATCCCGTGACCGACCCTTGGGAAAGTTGCTTAACGATAACGATCGAGGGCCGCGGCGCTTATCCACTACGCCATCGAGCTACACGACCGTTTGCGATTCGATAATGTGATGCGTGTCGACCATACTGATTACTTCCATAAAGCTACTACACATTATCTCGTAGCGTTGTCAAAAATCCCGAGAGGTGAACATCCACTGTGTCCACATTTCATTGCGTCTGCGCGCATGCAACAGACGTACCTTACGTATCAGATTTTCGATAGTTTTGTATGAATTAGTATAGCCAGTAACCGCACCGGCTGCACAAATTTTTTATCAGTAATTTCAACTAAGATCCCACTACATTGAAAAAATGTCCTTAAAAATGTTCACGGCTTGTTCATATTAAACTTAAAGAACTCATATTTTCAAATGTAAAAAAAAATCTGCCCATTAGCATGTAATGTTTTGTGTTTCGTGGCACTCGACACGGCTTAAAATCTATTTCAAATGGAAATATTTTCTTGTTCCATTAGGGCTTTAGTTTACGAATTCAATTTCTATTTTAATTATCATGAGATTTTAATTTCATAATTAATAAACTGTATAATATAGATCCTCCGAAGCCGAGTGGTTCGCACGCCGGTTTCAAGGTGTCGCCATCTCTGAGGTCCCGGGTTCGATACCCGATCGGGTCAATGTAGAAAATGAACTTTTCTATATTGTTTCGGGTCTGGGTGTTGTGGTACCTTCGTTGTCTTAAATACTCCATAATACGGGGGCTTTTGCTACTCATCTTGGAATCTGAGCAATGTATGTGATGTTGTTATATATTTATTTATTTATTTTTAAATAAAGAGGCACACTATATTATTGTTATAATATCATTATTACTAACAATATTTGTCACTGTGGCTTCAATACCCTCTATCTATAATATTAATACTACAAAGAATCCTTTTTGTCAAGCTTTGTTTAGCTTTGTTTGTTTTTTGTTTACATTAAATAAGCTGCAAAACTACTGGACCAATTATGAAAAACAATTTCAGGATGCTACATTATTCGCGAGTGACATTGGCCATAATATATGCGGGCGAAGTCGCGGGAAAACAGCTAAACCAGCGGACGATCGACACGCTTTCTTATTGCAACGGTTCGGGCTTATTAAATGAAATAATTACTACCACGATGGAGGCCTTTATTAATTTTACATCGGCTTTTATTCATTCGAGAAAGATGAGTATGTATACGAGTATACAGATAATAAACACATTATCTCCCTTTAAAAAATAAAAAAGGAACTCATTTTTTTACATCAATTATGTACAGTCATACACATAATGATGATATTTATTGATATAATATTTTGTTATGTTGTTTACATGAAATATACTTCATACAATAATAACACATACTATATGTACTGTCGGTATTGATTTTCAATTTATGAAGAAGTTAGAACTTCCGGGGTGTAGTTGTTCTAAGATGATAATGATTAATACTATCCATTTTAAATAAATTATTTGAGAAATAAATAACTCTTTACATTTCAGCAGTCGGGTATTATATGAATCTAAAACCATTTACACCAGATTTCTTCATTTTTGGCTGTGACGTGAACCAAATGATTTAGGTTTTCATAATACATAAAGTAAAAATATTGATTGAAATACTGATTATAATCATATAAAATTTTTATTAAACAAAAAACAACAGAGTTAATTTAATACTGAGTTAGATAACATTTTTATAAGTTTTATCCTCTATTTTTCACACTTTCGTAAACTTCATGAGCCGTGCCCGCTGCACCCAGAACACCAAGACCAGTTTTCTGAAAATAATTGCATAAATAAATAAGTCATATTATAATCTACTAATTTTTACATAAAGAAAAGTTCATTAACAAACATATTAAGAATGTTTGCCTTGTTACATACAACAAGTGGATAATATATATGAACTTACGATTGCTTTGCCGATCTTCTTGACTGGTACTTTGGGTGCAGCTTGACTCTCACCAGCGAGAAGTGCGAGTATCGCTAACACAATAGCGAATAGAGCTGTGAACTTCATGTTGTGTGGATTTGTTGAAATATGTGAAACAATAGAAAGACCCGGTATGCAGCGTATTTAAGAATGTATGCCTAAGAACTTAGCTTGTCTTTTATATGGATAAAAAGGACCATTGAAAATTTCCTGTGTATTGACCAATGATTAATTATGGGTTAATCCCATAATTAACCGCCGCACTTACGGTGTAAAGCAACGACCGTTCTTAAGTAATTTCATAAACAAGTCACTCGACTAGTCTTCAGATTATTCGGAGTGAGCTCTAAACAGTACATTTTTTGTTTTCCACTGGAAAATGTAACATCACTTAACTCTTAAGCTGCCTTACATTTTTAATTTCTGAAAATTCATCTTCAACCCAAAGCGGAATGTTAAATGAACTTACTGCTAGATAATTCAAATAAATTACGTTCCATTAGGTACTTATTATAAAAATAAGAGAAACTAATACTGGAACGGTGTGCCGTACCACCGTTTATTTCGTCCTAGGTTTCAGTATGCAAACTTTTTGAATTTGATATTCAACATGATTTCCTTTCATTATTCACCTTTCGTAATTTAAAAGTTTGATTGATCAAATATGTTACGAAGATTTTTTTACGAACTGACATTCATAAATATGTCAGTTCGTAAAAAAATCTTCTGTTGTGAACATATAAATTTTGATTGCTAAATATGTTGAATTTCTTCTCATGAATATTTTTATTAAAATGTTATGAATATTATGATATGACATTTTATTGAACCGTAAATCTATTTATAATAGAAATAAACTTGTAATATTGTAAAATGCAATTATAAAGTATGCTTTTTAAAAACACAAATTAATTTATTCATAGAAGGGAGCTATTTTCAGAGAGTGTCATTACATAAGTTGATTTATTTATCGAAAATAAAATAATGTTACTTGTCCGGAAACGGATGTTGTGTTGGCTTAATAATAAAGGCTGGTTTGACTAGTCTTGCTGTGAGGTAGTTGCTAGTAAGAGATTATTGTTTGAGACGCGGTGGCGTGAAAACGTGTACCAGGAGCAGTGTGAAAGTGTGGTTGAAGTTTCTAGAAGTTTAATTGCAAAAATTTAATACAAATAATTAAACATTTTAAATTATATAATAAATTATCTGTAAATATCTCAGTTTGCAATAATTTATCTGTAAATATTTAAGCCAGAGGTCGCATCAATAACTGGCTCATAAGCAACTTCATATATTTTTTGAAAGGGTTTTATTTAGATTGTGGTTATTAAGAATCAAATAATTTTGGTTCTGATCGAATACTAAAACAAAAGAGTTTCTGCTCGAAATACCGGTTAGTTTTGCTTACATAATTCAGCCAATTTGTCTATGTGTCACTTTCTCTGTCTTATTTGTATGCCTTTGCACTCTTACGCTGTTTTTTGTAAATTTAAAAAATATCTGAGTTATGTATGAATTATTAATCTTGAATTGTATTTTTAAACAAAAAACGACATCAAAAGAGTACTCTACACATATATATCTCAATGAAATAGTAAATCTACTTAATATTCATTACAAAATCTCCAAAAACATTAAAGAAAAGAATTGTCGAGGTGGTTTGAGGCCAAATAGCCATTACACCAATGCCGCGTATAGATGAAATTAAAAAAAAATATGGCTGAGTTAAAATACTTTTTGCTGTCAAATTAGGAGTGCAATTTAATTTTATTCCCAAAAAATGTTTATGTTTCTATTAAGTATTCCGTTTTCTTGATTTATTGGAAGAAATAAACGCGTTGTTGGAGTCTGTTGCCGACAGTTACTCTGATATTTTAATGTAAAAAGGTGATGACTTAACGTCACGGAGGACCTTGAGGTTGTAGTAAATTATTGATCACCCATCCTACGATCAGTCCTTATGAAAATTTCTTAACACCCGTAGCGCCGATATAAATCACGCAAATTAAGTCTTTATAATAATTAAAAAGTACTTAATCGACAAAAACTGAAATGAAATCAAAATATACGCGAGAAAAAAATGGTTATGAGTATACCTATCTATATATACCTAAAACATGAGTTATGTATTCGTATTTTATACCAATAATTTTTAGTTATTTAAACGTGCAATACCGCGGCGTTTTTATGTGGACTGAGAATAATATTCCCAGATTATGATTATAATTATTTATGTCGCCCCTTTCAGCCTGTCGGCCCTAGGGTGAATACGCCCTTGTACTTATGTAAATAATATGCCACCGCTGTCTGCCTCTCCGTCAAGTTGTCTATCTGTCATAAGAACTGTCGTAGGTATATTCGGAGTACGATAAGTATACTCGTGAAAATTTCATAGGATAAGTAACATGTAATACCGGTAACTTTGTAAATAATAAAATTCTATGGCACAATGTTAAGCGCACTCGGTCTTCGATACTGTTGTAAAGCAACTTTCGCAATGGCTGCTCTTAGGATGGGAGACCAAAATTTTTTGTCTAGCTTCTCCGTGCACTCGTTCCGTTCGTTCGGAAGGCACGTTAATCCATTGGTGCTGGCTGCATCTGCAATCGTTAATACCCAACAGTCCGCCCAGGGCCCGCGTGGTGAGTCATGGCCAATTCTCCTTACACGATTTGATTCTATTCCATCCATAGGGAAGGCTCGAGACCCAGCAGTGGGGACAAGAATAGACTGGCGATGACGATAAATTCTAATCATATTTTTCTAAACATTTTGTGGTGGTACAAATTGTTTAGTCAGACAATAGACATAGACTTGATTCGCTAATATAAATAATATAATTTATTTCTAGACGATTGCAAACTAGTATACTAGAGAAATACTTGTTTAATTACTTATTTTTTGAACAAATTATATGAAAGAGACAAGTTTACCATAGGAAACAATTAATATTAAGACTGTCGAAAAATCCTTAAAATATGTATTTAGGTCCAAATTTTCTTAATTCGGAAGCTCTGAGCTACATTATTTTCAATTAATTTATTCACAAAAGTTAACATTCCTTTTGTTGACTTCGGTATTGCCAGAGTTAAAAATTTATATGAAGTTGGTATTGACGTTTATTTTGAAATAAGCTTAATTAGCTTTCGTCCATGATTTGATCTGGTATTGTATTTTTTACCTTGTTTTTGTTGATTTTGATCCTTTTTGTTTGAGTTTGTTGAGCTACGCTCGTTGAATCATGAAAAATTGGACAGTGAAGGTAATAAAAGAGCTTATAATAAATTAAATTATGGGAGAAGATTGCTCTTCATATAATAACGAATTTAACTCAAATTCAAAACTATTTATTCGGTAGCTACAAGCACTTGGGAAAGTCGAAACTCTATGCTATCGGTTCGCACATACAGAGTACCTTGTACCGAGAAGAATCGGCAAAAACTCAATGCAAGCCATACAGTCGCGTAACTTGGCGACTCAGTACATCTCAGAGGTTGTTATCATAGTCAATAATGGCTGAAAGTTGTCGAATCGCTATATTGCCTTTTTTGTTTATTAGTAATTTCTACACGGATGTGTATGATATGAACTTACCTAGCATATGCTATATAGATTTTGTAAAACTTTACTGTAATTATATTTTATGCATCAATTTTATTGACGGGGGTTTTCTTCGCCTATTCAGGCGTTCTAGCGTGATCGAGTAACAAGATAATAATTATATAAACATACGTATGGATATAATTGCATATTTTCGCGTTATAATATTACTTAGGTAGATCAAAATAATACTATTCTGATTTTATAAGTTTAAAATATGCGGGAAAAGCCATTTATTTAGCAATGTATAAAAGGAAACTAGATGGTTTTAACAGTACATTTTCCTCGCCAATCGCCGCAGTAGTCTTTACTAAAATACAAATAAAAGTAAAGAAAATGAAGTACACGGTTTTGTTTTCTTTTGTATTAGCAATATTTGCACTATTCTTCGGAGGTGGCCAAGCTGATCCCAAAGTACCAGTGAAGCAGATTGGCAAAGCACTTGTAAGTGTAATTAATATAATCGCTTAATAACAATGGTGTTTGTTAAGCGAGGATAGCCTTGCTTTTAATAGCCAGATTTTAAATAAAGTTTATTGAAATTGTTAATCACCAATGTAATTAAAAAATAAAAAATTAACTTTTCAATCGAAGTCGGTATTAGTTTAAATAAAGACAATTTTAGTTTAGAATTCCAGTGACAACGACTTCAAATAATTCATGCATGAAACTGACATAGTGTTTTGTATCTGTATGTGCGGCAGCGCATATAAATATAGTATTTTTAATATTTTTGAAACAAAATTAGTGCACTAACTTTAAAAGTGGGTACTTGATGTGGGTATAAAATAAACCTTTATGTTATATACTAGTGGACGCCCGCGACTTCGTCCGCGTGGAAGTCGGTATCCCGTGGGAGTGAGAAGTTTTCCCAGTAAAAAGTACCCTATGTGTTATTCTGATGTATAACCTATATTGCTGTAAAGTTTTATCCAAATCCGTCCAGTAGTTTTTTCGTGAAAGAGTAACAAACATCCATACATCCATACTTACAAACTTTCGCCTTTATAATATTAATAGGATTTTCAAATAAATAATAGCCTATATTACCCGCGTATGATGTAGCTTTGTTAAATAATTTTCACGCTTGGATCAGTATTTCTGACGAATACACCCTAAAAATAAAGAAACTACCTCTTTACATCAACAGATTTTTGCAAAGGTCAAACCTTACTAACTTAAGAATTATGTCTAAAATCAGGCTTACACTAAATACCTCAATATTTTGCGAGTTCCAGATATATAGTATTGTGATGTTAGCGAAGTTTAATAGAACATATAAAGTACTTAAGTTTTATTTGTCTATAGAAAACTGGTATCGGCATCGCTGGAGCTGCAGGCACAGCGAAGGAGGTATGGGATCACGTCAGAAACAGGGGCTGAATAATTACATCATATTAACATTCTTTGCTTTTATAAGAACTGTTAAGAATATTTGTTCAAATATAAATGTCTTCATTATAATTTATCCTTTTATTTGATAAACAAGAACAGCCTTACCCTTAAATTAAATAGTGGATCAATTTGGACCCACAAATAAAAAAAAAATTCTAATACTTCAGATTATAACTTACTAGCTTTCGCCAGCGGCTTCGCCCGCGTGGACCCTAGGGAAATGTTTAGTGGGATATAAAGTATCCTATTATCTAAGTCAGTAAGTAAGTAAGTAGTTTTTGGCGTGATTGACCGACAAACATCCAAACATCTAAACATCCAAATATACAAACAGCAAAACAAAGAAACATTCACATTTGTAATATTAATAGCATAATGGGTCAATACAGTAGTAACCCCATGTAATAATACAATCAACGTTTCTCAATGTATATATTATAATCAACATGT